GTTTGAAAATGGTCTCTCTCTCGCTAGGCCTTTATTTGATACAATAACACTCTATAACTCTGTATCTGATTAAGCAGAAATACATTTCATCTAAAGCCTGAAAACATCTGAAATTGATTTTTTTGGTTGATATATCAATTTGCCAATATATGTGGTTGACTTAACCTTTTCTGATTCTTCAGATCTCTGGTCAGTGCCATCCATCTTGGATATAACATGGATCATCTCGACACTGATGTTCTTGAATGGCCTCAACTGAATTTCAATGACACAGCTTTACTTTACAGAATCTGCATTTCAAACTATAAAAAAAATAATTATAAATTAAATAAAATGTATTATTATTATTTCTGAGTGTAAGGGCTTTGGCACACCAAGCTGATGGTTGGCTGTTGGTCATTGTCGGGCCACTGATGAGCATCTGTTGCACTAATTTTGGTTGGCACTAGTCGGCACTTGTTGGCTTTTTTTCTGCTGATTCAGCATGTTGAATCGTGTTAGAGACGGTGGTGCCCGTCGTTTGTAAATGTTTGTGTTATTGTTTGCTAACACACAGTAAATATCCTTTGTTCTTTCAACATTGTGTTGTGTTGGTTATGTGCTAAATAGCCAACTAGAGTCTTGAATTTGTCCTGTTGTACACAGAACACACATGCAAGTTAGCCTAGGGCTGTAGTCTTTGCGATGTGTTTAGGTGCAACTGTTTGGCCAAGAAAAAAGGCAACGTGAGGTGACTAAACAGTTGGCCTTCCAAGCCGCTAGTTTTGATGCTTTGGTGTCGGTTTAGTGTGTCTGGGCCTCAGAGGGTTAAAAATTACATGTTGCAGGAGCATATTATCCTTCAACCAAAATTAAAACATGAGAATCGGTAGAACTGAAGACAGAACTGCTGTTGCTCAGAATGTGTCTGTAGTATGAATTTGGAACACAGTAGGTTTCCCTGACAGAAAACCTACACTGTATTATTAGCATGAGATTTGGGTCAAGTCATTCTGACTCATTGCTCCGCTCTCAGATTAAGTCTCTCTTGGTATATGTTTTTTATTGCTGCGGGACCATCATTGCCACTGATGACACTGAGATTTTCTAATTTTCTAATGATGTGTAGGTGTTAGCTACTATCAGATATACATTATAGTTAAAACTGACAACTTGTTTTATGCTGATTTAAGTATCTTTAGAGCCAGTATTCATCCTGTAGTATTTTTTATTCCTCAATCAAAAGTAAGACAGAGAGGGCTTTGAGACAGCACTCAGACTTTCATGTCAGGTAATACTTTGTTTGACGGGCCTGAAATAATTACTGGTTTGACAGTAATTTAAGTTTTGAGCAGCATATCACAAAGCTTGTGCAATCATGTTTTTATCATCTTAGAAATATTTAAAAAATACGATCCATTTTAACTTTTAAAGACACTGAGACAATTTTGAATGCCTTCATCTTTTCAGGCCTGAATTACTGCAACAGCCTCTTCTCTTGTTTGAATCAAAAATCTATTAATTGACTCCAAACTGTACAAAATTCAGTTGAGAGATTTTAACCAGAACCAAGAGACCATGATCACATCACTCCAGTTTTAGCCTACTTTACACTGGCTCCCAATATGTTTTACAATAGATTTTAAGATTTTACTGATTACTTAAAGGCTCTTCATGGTCTCTCTCCCAGCTATATCTATGACATCTTAGTACCCTGAAGTTCTGAAACAGTCTGCCCAAGGAAATCAGGTCGGCTGATTCAGTGATCTCTTAAGTCCCTTCCTAAAACATACTTTTATCGGTAAGCCTTTCCTGATTTTATTTGAGTTTTAAGTTCATTTAAACTGTCCTTTACTTCCTCTGTTTTTATACACTAAAGTGTTTTTATCAGTTCTTTTAAAAGTTGTTGTTTTCATGCCTTGTCTGTTTTAATTATTGACATGTAAAGCACTTTGTAACTCTGTTTTGAAAAATGCTCTACAATGTCTCCTGGAGAGCCCTATGTAATTATAAGATAATAATAGGAAAAATAGACAGTTATCAGATTTTTGTTTTCTTTCAGAATGTTGTTGAATCTTTTCAATCTGTTAAAAGTCTATATTTTTTCATGACAATGCTTTATCATCTTATTTCATTATTTTGGTACTGTGCCTTTTTGCTACCTACAGTTTCGACAAAACAAATTTGGGCTCAATATCCTGTTGCTTACTTTTGTTGAGCAACTTCCATTCAAGGATAAAGGCTGTAAAATGTAGCAGAAAGCTACATTAACCCTAAGGGTTAATTATTTTTAAATTAAAGTGTTTTTTTGTTTTTTATTTAAATATGTCTAAAAATACACATTAACATGGTAAATGGTAATTGACCTGCACTTGTATAGTGTATAGTGTTACGCCATCTATTGCGCGGCACGCGGCTGTCCGTCCTGGAAGAGGGATCCCTCCTCAGTTGCTCTTCCTGAGGTTTCTACCATTTTTTTCCCCCATAAAAGGGTTTTTTTGGGGGAGTTTTTCCTTATCCGCTGCGAGAGTCCTAAGGACAGAGGGATGTCGTATGCTGTAAAGCCTTGTGAGGCAAATTGTGATTTGTGATATTGGGCTTTATAAATAAAATTGATTGATTAACACACTCACACACCAATGGACAGCCATTTGGAGCTCAAGCATCAGGAGCTCAGTATCTTGCTCAAGGATATTTCGACATGCAAACTGAAGAAGCTGGGGATCGAACAGCGGCTCTTCTGATTAGTTGACGCCCCACTCTACCTCTGAGCCGCTCAGCCGCACATGAATCCAACCTATTACTGGCAACGATAAACTGACCTAGTCATTAAATTAATGAATAAATTACAGTACACAACACTAAAACAAGGCCTATGGTTGACCCTTAAATGGGATCAAGTACAGCAATTTACTTACTGACTTATATCACTGACAATAGCAGTTATATGTATTTGAATGATAAATAAATGTATTTTTATCATTAAAAGACATTTCAATGTGCCATTTCATACTCCTTCCAGATGTAGATATTGTAAAATGATACGGTCCATCTGACAGTGAGGGTCAGATGCGCATCAATGCCAAAAAACACAGCCGACAATGTTAACGTGAGGTGGAATGCAGCCTGAATATCTAAGTCAGAATACCTCACCAAATATCAGGGCCCCCCTTTGGAAAATGCCTGATGGGGGGTTCCTGCTCTGTCTTTCTCTCAGCTAAGGGGTCCTTAAAAAATGTTGCATGCCCCTGGTTTACACAATTTTTTGGCCTCACAATTAAATTTGGAGTGAGTGAGGGGAGTTGATATACTGTATTGTTATGTCAAAGCACTAATTGCCAGGTCAAAAATGAATATTAATTGCCAGTCTATTGTTTCTTTTAATGTTCATGTTTTATATGCCAAAACAAATTGTACTCTTATTTTTTAAAAATGTAGTTTCTCCTTTATTTTCTCCTCTTTTTTCAACAATTGTTTAAAGCAGTGGTTCCCAACTGGTCCCAACTTAGTCATTAGTTTAATGTCCACACAGTTAAATATATTCAGCGTCATACTTTCGTTTGACTGTGTTGTCGAGCTAGCTTGCTGTTTCTGTCAAGTTCATGTCCGCTAGTCACTCACTGTACAGCAGGAAACAGCATTCCAAATAAAACCTCAACAGAAATTTACTGCACTTCAAAATAAAGGGTGTTTTTTCCAAACTTGACATGTTTGCAAGTCATTTGCATTCCATTCAGAATCGACCTGCGACCCACTTTTGGACCACAACCCATCTCTTGGGAACTGCTGCTTTAAAAGATATTTTATGACCGGTGGTTATAAGCGGCAATAGAAGAATTTGTGTGGTAAATTTAGCAGCAGAATTTCAGTGTTATGTAATCTAAATGTTGAGACATTTCCACACTCATGACGAGACATTTGAGAAAAGCTGTGTGATTTCAAATTTGACTTTGTAGAATTTACCTAGAAATCAGCGTGAAAAAAACAACAACAGTTGAAATGTCAGAGCAATAAACATTTATGGGGATTGATGGGCTGCTAACCCCTTGTTTGTGGCTCCGCTGGGACACCTCGCTCCTTGAAGCTCTTATGTAATCCTGGCCCTGCTTCAGCCTCAGCCTCTGTGAATTCCTGCTGTGTTACTGGATAGCCTGTGGTTACCACTCAGAGTGTAGGTCAAACATATCAGTGAGCAGCCATCAGGAACATCTATATCTCCCCACCTCTCTCCCTCCAGCCTACTACTCCCCTTCATCATTGCGTAAGTGTTGCCATGGAAGTGATTCGGGGTTTCCATGGCATTGTGCTCATTGTTGCGAGAACATTATGTTTTGGTCTATTTCACTCAACTAAAGCCGTAGGCTGTAGATTACAGATATGAATGGATGTTTACTTTTCCGTTCAGTGCCAAAGTCCATCTGTAGTTCATAAAGACGGATCCTTTAATTGGTTCTTTAATGAGACAAAGCAGGCTACACCAGGAAAAAAGCTTCTTTTTTTGTTTTGTTTTTTGTTATGACAACTGCACTCTTACATACATTTTTACAGTCATGGACTCCCTTGGAATAACACCACACAAATCTATATACTTAATGGCTTTTAGAGTTTTACTCGAAAAATCTTGCTGATGTTCTGGTATGTGTATGAGTATATGTATGAGTAAATTGTTGTTTTTGTGTTAAACCACTTGAGGTTATGTTCACGTTCCAGGACTGCCCTCCTCTTGCCCATCCAAGCTGACTTTGACCAATGACCTTCCAAGGGGAGAAAAATTCACAACAAAGTTTAAAGTTCCTAAAAGATGTGCTCATAGTACATAAACCTAGGGCCTTTGCTTTTGATGAACATGCTTTTCTCATCTTTGAAGTACGTTTTCATATATTTTTTGTCACATACAAAACAAAAAAAATGTCCATTATATACATTCTCCATTTCTCTTGCATCACAACCACAGGTCCCTTTTCCTGCAACGGCAGCAGAAATCACTTTTAATGTTTTTGGGCCAAGATGTTGACCACCAGTCCAGTTGAAGATTCCATGTTTTATTTAATCTTGGATTCTACATTTACACTAATCATGCAATTCAAAAGAAGGAAAAAAATGATAATGGATATAAGCTTTAGAAATCCTTTGAAGCAGTTGGTCAGTTCAGCAACAAAGTCTCACAAACTGGAAAGAATTCCTTTGAAGCGCAGTGGTCCATCTGGGCATATCTATTTGTTGTGTCAGTTTTGAAGATTATTCTCTTTGTGTACCATCAAAACATGATCGGCCAGTCTGCACCACATCTGGCAGTTTGGAGATGGAACTGAAGAGATGTGAAGTGGGGTAATAGTAACTTACAGCTGGTCAGTTGGGTCAGGGGTCGTCATCTGCGTTTCTTCTTCATACCGGCCGGTCCACAGCATATTGGCAGGGGCTCAGGTTGGACACAGGATTCTGCACTGCTGGATAAGTAAAGTTGGTGTGCTGCTTGGCCTTGAGCCGCAGACTGGCCAGACTGGAGTTGCAGGTGTCTCTGTACATGTAGGGACTTGCCGTGGTGGCATAGGGGCATGTGGCTGCAGTCACTGCCACCGTGTTGAGCGCAGTAGGGCTATTGAGGTTGTTGAGGTTGCCCAAGTTGTTGAGCCCCGTAGTGGGAACCCCGGCCACCGCTGAGGGCACCATGCTAGAGGCCATGTTCATGGAGGGGATGGAGCTGGGGGGAGAGAACATGGGCTGGGATGACAAGGGGCTTACATTCATTGAGTTAAAGAATGGGAAGCTCTTGGCAGAGAGTGGGCTGCTTGCTAGGCTCTTGGTGGCCCAGTTGTTGTAGGAGTAGCCCGTATACATGTCATCATAGGGCTGCATGAGTCCGTTGAACTGGGCACCAAAGCCATTTTTGCATAACTCTGCCTGCTGGTTCCTCTCCCGCTTTCTCCACTTAGCACGGCGGTTCTTGAACCATACCTAGGGGAGCCAAAGGCAGAAAAAGTCATTTCAGTGTTCAATCTATTTCCTGAACCCTCTTTGATACCTGATGCTTCCCTTAAAGCATTAAAGGCTTTGTTTTAGACCTCAAGTTTTCCCTTGTTAACATAAAATATGTATGACTAAAAACAGTTGCAATTAGTTTTTTAAAAAACAAACAACAACAAAAAAATATATTGTTAGGTATTATTTATTATTTAAAAGTTTAAAATTCAAAAACTAATCAGGACTGTGGGTATAGTTTGGTCAGAGGTATGTGACATCATCTTTTTCAAACTGAGCCCAGCCCACCACAAAGCAGTGAGAAGAGCACAGAGGAAAACAACCAGGTCTCACCCCAAAGTTGTCGAAAACTGGCACTTGGTCAGTGACTTCTGGCATCAGACATCAACAAAAAAAGCAGATCGGCATGATACTAGAAACGCGGCAGGACAACTAAAGTTAAGGCAACAGAAATCCTGGTAGTGCGGGTGGATGGGTTGAACAACCACCAACTTTCACCTGGCAGGTCGTTGTTCGCTTCCCATAAGATTGTAAAGCCAAACCCTGTTCTTTTTTTCAAAACCCAACCACGTGCGTTTGTTGTTGAAGGAAAAAAATGTCAATTCATGGTGTTGTACTGACATAGTGCATTTATTTTGAAAGCGACTGAATGTGAAAAAGGAAGTGTATTTTGAAAACAGACAATGCATGCAACAGGCAGAAGTTGACACGGCAACCAGAATACACACAGGGTACCTTGCACGTCATAACTCGACATGGAAAGTCCATGACCAAACATTGATCTGTGATAAGGTTGGAGTGAGAATGTGTTGAGGGAAAAGACAAAAAAAATAATAATAATATGTCTGATGTGAAATAACCAGTAGTATGCCTTCTATCAATCCATCCATCCATGCATCCATCCATCCATCCATCCATCCATCCATCCATTCATTCATAGTATGTTAAGCTGATATTCTAACAGTGCTCACTCCAGACTAAACTTCTGTTTCTATTGTGAAGAATGAAGAGGAGGTTTGTCAAAGCAAAATGTTGCCTGTTCATTCCAGCTTGTTAAAGGCAGTGTTGGGAGGGTTACTTTTCAAATGTAATACATTACAGATTACTAGTTACCCTGTTAAAAAATGTAATAAGTAATGTATATTTTAATTACTTCATCAAAGCAATTTAACTTAAAACCTTTGATTACTTTTTGATTGCTTACCTATCAAATGTTTTAAACTGGGCAATGCAGCTGAAATGTCCACATGGTTTTGCTGATTTATTTTGTAATTTCATTATGTACTTCTGTAACATGTAACTGGTTACTCCTATACACTGGTTATAGGCATTATAGTGTACTTGCAGTGACAGTAAAACAGGAACATGTTCCTTTTTAAATCTGTTCACATTCTGATGCTAAGCTTTAAGTTTCTTTGATCAGTGATTGATTTCTTCTCTTCTTATTCAGCTGTTGCTCAGAGGGATCTTTGTCTCTTTTAGTTGTCAGTCTGGTTGAACCACTTGACAGCATTTTGTTCTCCATGTACAAAACAGATCCTTCATACTAAATAACATCCATTTGTAAACGGACCAGGTGAATTAATCCTGTAAAAAGACTGAATAAAGCAGTTTCACATTACAAATTAGTGTACCTCTGACGCAGACTGGCTCATCAGGGACAGGCCGCTAGCCGCTAGAACCTGCTAATGTGTGCTCACCTTTTTTCTCTGATAAGAGTCAGACATTCAGGAGGTTTTTACAGGGAGCTGAATCATCCACAGAGGTCTCTTCTCCAAAACAAACTGACCGCATAAGTTAGGCCAGTAAAAACATTGAATAAAGCAGTTTCATGTTAGAAATCAATGTCTTCCCAATGCTGCTCATTACTGATGGGATTCTAACTACAGTGGCTGACACAAAAACATGTAGATATAAACAGCTCTTTCTAAGGTGAAGAAAGCACATTTCTTATTTTCAGGTAATTATACACTAAAGAGAACATACTTATTATATTATATTCAATTTCTGCAAATACATCCCCTAAACCCTACTTGCTGTTCCTTTAAGGAATAAATCTAGAAATTTAGCAGTTTTTCTGGTTGTTGTGATGTGGCAGCTTTTGTGTATCTCTACTGTAACTGATGAGCACAGTAGGAACGATGGCCAAAACTACAAAAGTAAACTTATGTGTACAGTAAGCCTCTGTAATTATGAAGCCAGCAGTGCATCTGTCAAGGTAATAGGGGTTGAATTGTAATTGTGGGCCTCACTCAGTCACACATACACACACCATTAAAAGCTGCTAGGAAGGTAAGTTTGAAAGCTGACATATGGAATTGTGAGTAAAATCACTGACCTGGATATAGCCAGTCAGTAATGCTTAAGTAGCAGACCAACCATTTTGCCCACTTGTTATTATGAGGCACGAGATATTTCATCTCTTATATGGACTTATGTTATTTTTGCACACAAGAAAAAAATAGAGTGACTGAAGAAGTTATTTTCAAATGTCATAAAGTGTCAGGAGTCAATAAACTCTAATTCTAAATTACATCCAGTTAGAGTATCCTATCCCTCTAAAGTCATTTCAGTAATATTGTGTGCATATGTCTCTAGAATTTTTGAAAGACATAATGATCCCAGAAAGTAAGTTGAAGTGTATCATCAAACAGTTATATTAGGCAAGGCTTATTAAAACTAATCATTGACTTATTTGAATAGTGAGATCCCAATGAAAGAAATGTCAGGGAAGGGCAATCTTCACATTTGTCATTTTGTGGTCCTATATTTGAAAGATATGAAATGGATTAAAGCTTTAGTGGAAAATGTAAATTGAAGCTTTTTAGAAATGAAAACTATGCGAAGTTCCTCTTGGTGTAAAGTTATGGACAAACTTTGGCTCTGAATTAGACAGATGAGGACAAAAAGTCTCCTTATCATCTGTATGCATTTGCTTTGCACTAAAATAATTTGCTATCAAATGTTTTATCCCTTTAATCCTCATGAAACTTTTACAGGCCTTTTCTTTGTTGATACTCAGCCTCCGCTCTGCTTCCTTGGCATACATGCTGTGTATCATCCAACCCTCCGTTATTATAGTAACAGAATGCTGTTGACCATTAATATGAACATAAAGTGCATGACTCTGAGTTTTCCATTCCACCCAGTGACAGTAGGGGAAACCCCAGGCCTGAGGACAGAAGCTATCCAATCTTTACCTTGACTCAAAGGCAATGCTGTTTGAAGGTTTGTGAAAAGGCTGAATGTCAAGGTTATTTACTGGCTCAACTGCAGCCACATTCATATGTCAAACTGTGAAATGGTCAGGACTGAACGAGAAGGAGATCAAGTTACTTTTTTTTAAAAAAAAAAAGCATTGATATATATTTTATGTAAATTGAAATCAAAGAATCAAGACTTCTGTTAGTGATGTGTTTTAAGAACAGTACATTGCCTGTCAGTGGCTCAGAAAATGAGACATCCCAACAGGCATGCTGTATTCTGAATGACATGTTTGAGGTTCCCAGCTCCTGATGGAGATAACTCTGGCACTCATTTCAAATGTAGGTTAAGCATTCTTGGTGATGTCAGCATATCATAAGGGCTTCCACTACACAACATCACCTTTAAAATATGCAAAAATAATTTTTCATTTTTGTGCCATGGCCCTTGATATCAGTCCAGTCTCTGTTGGAATAATGTCCAAGCTACACATGAAGTAGTGTGACATTTAGTAAGGAAAGTGAAGAGTGTGGAGGTAACACATTGCCGAACCTTAGACATGTATTTATTAATTTTTTGGCCACTGGTGTAAAAGGCTGTAAACACAACACCTGATATATTATCACCTCATTCAGGTGCTAGCAAACAGTTAGCAGACTGCTAGCAAACAGTTGCCTCTTTCCATAACACGCAGACATAGAGGTCCATAACATTCATCAGTCATATTTTTATTTTATTTTCATGTTTGTATTCATTTTAATGTTTACATCACACACAGTCATTTGATTGATTGTTAATATAAATTCAATTAATTATCTTAACCTTACTGTGATATGTTTTCTCAGATATTGTAGGAATAATCATGCATAAAAAGATTAATGCTGAAAAACTGCAATTGAACATATGCCAGCGTCATATGGGCAAGTCGGTTGCTTAATATACCATAATGGGCTACTTGTAGCCTACTTCTACAATAATTTTTTCCATAATAGATGATACTTGTTAGTATAGCTAGATTAAACTGTTGGGAAATGATAGTGGAGCTACATTGCTTAACTTTTACCACCCACCAAGGTATTTAAATAAATGTGTGTAGGTCAAAGGCCTGCTGTGCCACAGCACTGCCATTAGCAGGGCTGTAGACCAGAACACATACAGGGTCAGCCAGAGGTAGGCAGTATGGTCACTGAATATATTTAAAAAACGTATTAGTTACATTTGAGCATTTTGTAATTTGAATTTTGCAGGACACAAAAAGTAAGATGTAATTTGTAACAAAATACTTTAAGGGCTCGTATTTGAGTATTTGAAATATTTAACCCTCTGAAAAGTTATAATCCTGATTAAAATCAGTCCAAAATAAAAAAAATAAAAAATAAAAAAAAACTTCAGGAGCAGAGCATTTATTCTTTCTGCAGCAGAAAGCTAAGACTTCTTTCTTTTGTGCCATCACGTTGTCCACATGCAATGACATCATCACATTATGCTACAAGTAAAATGCACGATATTGGATTTTTTTGGCGGTATCCAATATGCCAATATATTACAACTTATTTGGCAAATAACCAATATCGATATAACCATTTTTTTCCCACCTAATTTTAGTGATCATAAAGTCTCTTCTGTAGTGGAGTTAACATCATATTATACATGCATACTCTTATTGTGATGGCCCACCAGCAGATGGAGATATGAAATACAATACTTTTCAGTGTATGTAATATTCATTCATTGTGCAAAATGAGTATTTGTAATTTGTAACAAGATACTATTTGATGTATTTGTGCCAGTCTCTGGCATAAGCCCAGCTGCCAGAAGAAAATGTTTCATACATTTCTGCAAATCACAAATATGTTACATTTGTACATTTCATTCGCATCATATCAAGGTTTCTAAAGGGGCGTAATATATGAGCTGACTTTGTCATCAGGAGGTGGAGGGGATGGTGAATGGTGTGTCACCTTGGCAAGATGCCTGCAAAGCTGCAGAACACTCTTCGGTTGTGTTCTAGCTAGTCATTGCTGTCTTTTCAGCAGCTTGGAGGCTAACACTCATTCAAAATGAATGAGTCAAGTCAAGTAAAGTAATTTTTAAAATCACACAGTTGCTTTGTAGATCTTTACAGTCTGTATAGCAGGCAACATTCTCCACTGCAGGACCATCGACTGAGTGTTGTCACTTTGTTCCATCATGTCGCAGCTTTGATGATTAACAGCAGCTCTGTGACAAATCACGTGAATCAAGCTGACAGGTGAAGTATTTTGGGCATGTATTAATCTGCCTGCATGTAGGGGTTGGACAGGCCACAGAGAGACATTAAGGACGAGACCATGTGTAGTCTGTTGTCCTTTCAAAATAACAACCAAGAGTGTGTGCTATGTGACCTTTCATCCAGCCAACATTAATTTGATCCACTACTAAGGCAGGCCAGCAATTGTTTTATCATCCATCAGAATGTGTGTCCTCCTGCTCCATATAGTTACAATGACCAAACCACTGGGTGTGGCCACCCTGCTGCACCTTTGACATTTACATTTAGTGTGTGAACTAAAGCTTTAGTAGGACACTTCATGGAAAGTTTTTGCCCTTTTGTTCTCTAACCATTTAGGTATTATATTGGATACTTTTTTCCCCTAGTTACATCACAGTAAACTTATGTATAGAATATACAGTAACTGAGGCCTATAAAAAATGGTTGGGATTGGCTTTAAACACACTAAAAGAGCTCAGTTTGCAACTTATGAACTTGTGGTTTAGCAGGGGTCACTCTCATGACAGCTAATATCACAATGACACAACACAACACCAACACAGCTAATGCTAATGGTACAATAGACACCACAGCTACTAGTACTGCTGAAGCCGGACATTTGAAGGACTTTTATAAACAAATCAGTACGGTTTCCAATGAAAAAAAACCACATTAAAATGCAAATCAATTGTGCCCGCTGGGTCTAAATAAAAAAAACAAGTTGAAGTTGATCACAAGAAATCATTACCAAGGGGTGAGATCACAAGCCGACAGCTGCAAATTCCTGTTCTTTTTTCCTCCAGTACTGCTTTCTCTAAATGGTGTGTTCTGCAGAGCTAAAATCATAGCACATCTTTCTCTTGTAACAGCTGTAATGAAGCCAGTGGTGGAGCCTGTACCAGCTTGCTTTGGGGCATTTGAATTTATGAGGAATTTATTGATTATGTCCACAGAATATTTATTTTATTTATTTATTTTAGTTTTCAACATACTGTTTTCTGGAGATACTTTAAAAAAATATTTAAAGTTAGGATAGGTTGAGTCGTGACGACAAATACAATACAAAATATAATGTGCAATTTCTTTCACTTTAATCACTGAAATGAGTAAACCATTTATTAAAATTAATAAATGCATCTTTTTTGTTGAAAAAGGTCTGTTAAGACTACTAAAAAAAACCTAATCAACCAATCATAACTTTTTGTTTTTGCAAATTATTTATGAGTGCATTTAGAGTAGAAGTCCACCATTACAATATAATAATATTTTTTTACATAACTGGATTCTGACCAGGTTAAGTGGTAAAACATATACTCACAGTGGTTCTTCTTGTCTTTCAAATGTCATCTATGTCTGTGATTCAGTATACAATCATTCATTTCATTTGAGAAGTGGGCATTGGTAATAACTGGGGCTGGGGATAGACGGGACGGGTTGGGGAAAGTTTTATAAAAAAAAAAAAGCTTAGAGCAGCTCATTAAAAATAGAAGAAATAGATGTAAACTAGTCCATTTTTTAGGACTTTGAACTTAGTTCAAAATACAATTGCGAACTATGAACGGGAACAAGTTCATTTTAATCTGTGAGAACTGAACTTTAAACTAGCTCTTGTAAAGTACGAACAAAACTGATTACACTGGCTGACTATAACCTTTAATTCTGTCTATATTTCTTCTTAGGTTTGTGTGGTAATAGCCAGATTAAAAGATTTTGAAATCTGATTAAAATTTTGGTTATCAACAGATTCGATCTAACTTAAAAAACATTTAAAATCCCTACTATCTTTAAAGCATCAAAAAAGCTTTAAACATGCATGAATAGACTTTTTGGCCACTTAGGGGCAGCGTAAACACAACACCTTTAACTAAAACTACACTGTGTTGTGCTGCTTAGCACACCTTCAACCAGAGAGGAGGAGCTATCACTGAAATCACCTGCTGTAATAAAGATATGATCAGGGTTCTCGGTTCCAGTGGGACCATGGCAGAGTGTGTGTACTCACCCTGACTCGTGCCTCAGTGAGGTTGGTCCACACTGCGATTTCCTCTCTGGTGCTCATGTCGGGATAGCGGTTTCTTTGGAAGGTGGCCTCCAGCTCTTGGAGCTGCTGACTAGTGAAGTGAGTCCTCTGCCGCCGCTGCTTCTTCTTCAGAGAGCCGTCCTCAGCACTGGACTCATCCAGCTGGTTCTGGTGGGATTTCTCTGTGTCTACAGAAGGAAAAAAAAATTTTTAAGGATACTGGGAAGTGCAGCTTCAGTGGGAAGATAGATGAGAGTATGCAAAATAACAAGTTACACCAATGAGAACAAAATGCATCACTGGGTCATTTAAAGATAAATGTACTTAAAGATTATAGAAATGCATACATTGTAGATGTGGAATATCTCAGTGTCATTGGTTTTAAGGCACATGTCATTATTAAACAAGGGGAGAAATATGTTGTTACACCTACAAACTGATGTGTGCTGATTTTGTTCATCAGTTTATTGTCACATTGCACTACACTCTGGGAGACAAAAAGAAGCTGTGGGTGCCAACTGACCCTATACACACACACACACACACACACACACACACACACACATATATATATATATACATAGCTGGAAGCAGCTTTTTGCAATTGTTTTCAATGACATTGAAGCTTTTCGCACGCTGTTTTTGTGCTGCTACACACCTCGCATTTCTGCCCTCTAGGCACCTAGTGTTTTTGCCGGTGCACTCTGAATTCCTTGAGTTGAAAAAACTTCAACTCAGAGAAGAAAAGTGCCCCACGTCATCTCTGCTTTTTTTCCATTGTCCAGTCAAATGATTTTAGAGGCAGGCCTTCTGTGGTGGTCGCGAAAACAAGTTTACAGCTGGTAAACAATGGAGTAGCAGCACGGTGGGCATCACGTTTGCAACCTGCAAAACACTTATAAAACACTTACACTTAATATTTAACCTAGCGTGTCCTCTCCCACGCACTCTGCAATGTTGTTTTTACAGTGGCCCAGAACAGACAAACCAAACACTGACTCTGGATAGAGCCATTTGCAATTTTGCAATTTTGCATTATCACATTTTCATGTTGACCACTATAGTTCTCCTTCACACTTGGCATGCTGGAGAACCTCACCAATAGATGCCACTAAATCCTAGGCCCTTGACCCTTTAACAAATATATCTGCAGTCAATCAAATTACCACTAACTAAGTGCCGTACAGTGGACCAAGGGTCTACAGGCAGTTGAATACCAAGCGACAACCTCTTGAGCTGAAAAACGCAGTCAGTGTGGAAGTACCAAAAACTGCAGCTCCTCTAATGGCCATTGAGGCTGGCTCCTAGAGCGAGTCAATCCCCATAGACCCCCATGTTAAAATGCCCAACTTTACAGCAGAAATTAACAGGTTTATAGCCTGGTACAAAAACAGTTTTGGTCTCTATAGCTAATTTCAACATTAGTTACAACTGTAAAGGTGGTGAATTTTTATATAACTGACCCGATAAACTTTATTAAGGCTTAAAGTTATCTATAATTAAGGGCGTAGCCACGTCAAGGTACAGGCTGTCTATTAGTGCTACGGATAAGCTCTCATATTGTAACAATAGTGCATTTTGTGTGAAAAGCATGACATTTCTAGCATAGTAAACACAGACCATGAAGTTTATTTTCAGATTCAGAAGTCAGATTTGACCTCTAAGGCCTGTGAGAGGTCAAAATCAAGATGGCCACCAGTCCCCCAGGTCTAATGTACAAAGGCCTTTAATTTGGAATAATTCAGTATAGAAAAAAGGCTTAATTTCCAACCAAAGTGGGGATGTCCATTCATTTGAGATTGACAGAATTCAATGAAAATGCATTAATGTCAATGTTAAGGTAAAAATTTACCAAAAAAGTAAGCAATCAGTTGAAATCTGCAAATGAACCCCAAGTGGTGTCACTGTTTTTGTAATTAGTGCAGTGCTATTTCTTAGTGTTTGTCAATACATGTTTTAGTTATAAATGCTGTTGTAATACAGGAAAAGAAAAATTTGTTAATTCATTTTTCACATTGAACACACATTAAAAAACATACAGGAACTCATAGAGGCAATAACGTTATTAACAAAAATTGAATATGGTTATGTGAAAAACGGGAGGGTTGCCAGTTCAAGTCCCCACGTGGACCAAATATGGAGTGTGGACTGGTAGCTGGAGAGGTCCTTGAGCAAGGCACCTAACCCCCTAACCCCCTGTCCAAGGCAGCCTCCTCACTCTGACATCTGTCCATGTAATGCATATATAGGTCCTGTTTGTGCATGTGTGTGTATTTTGGGCCTGTGTGTATATGACAACAGAGTAAAAAAAATTGAATATCCCCTCAGGGATTAATAAAGTATATCTTCTTCTTTCTCTGAACCCTCTCTCTGCCTCCTCTGCCAAACAAAGCAGAACAGAGGAGTTAAACCTACAGTTATTAAAATTCTGGGGTTATTCTCCCTAAACACTGTAAAAAGTTCTTCATGTAGTATAGCAAACGGTCCTCTTATGATCATTGATATGTCTGCAACACTATTGATTCTACATCATACTGTCATTTTCACATACACATGATTACATTTCTTTTTCTGTGTAGGTTCTTTGACAACCTAAACATGCCCTTTGTCTGTTATGTATTTGCAGGTTATTGATGTTTTACGAATGTCGTCATTGAAATCTCCCATGATGGTAATCGTGTTACTTAGTGGATCCAGCCAATCAAGTAACTCTCCTTAATGTTCTTTAAACAAAGACATGGGACAAGATGGTAGTCTGTAAATCACTGCTTTTACTATGTTGAAAGTCACACACTCATACAATAAACATTCTAAACTGATATAATATGCGTTACTTTAAAATGTTGTACATCAGACTGTTCATGCAAACATCATTTTGTTGGGTGTGCAAAGCAACCAATGTAGGGTTTTGCTGCTGTATGAGGAACTTCAACATCAACTACTAAGGGCTCTAGTTTCACAGACCGGGCGAGGCAGGGGCGCAGCGCACCTGCGCTTCGCCAACTGGGTGTGGCCAGGCGGATTTTGCAAGTTTGGCACACCGTGCGCCTGGCGCAGCTACTCCTCTTTCCCACCTCCGTCCTTCCTACCTGCGCAAGTCGGAAAGAGGGAGGAGAGAAGGCGTGGAGTGGGTTTTACACACATCACACCAATCAAATGAGCCCCTCTCCTCGCCTTTAAATGCGCCGCACGAAGGCGTGATGAGAGTTTACTCAATTCGCCATGGCAGAAGAGAGCAGCAGTGTCAGACGGCCAAACTTCTCCCAGGAGGAAACTGATGTTTTGGTCCGGGAGGTCCAAGCTCACAGTGTCCGAATATACGGAACTGCGAGCAGACCTCCACGGGCTGATGATGCAAAGGTAGCCTGGGAGGAGGTCACTACAATTGTAAATCAATGTTGCGTTTCTCTCGTGCGTGCGCGCTCTCTTTCTCTCTCGCAGTCTCACTCTGTTTCTTTTCTTTTGACTTTTCTAAGATGAAAGATGCTGAATATTTACTCCCTATCTGATGCTGTGGCTGTTTGTGGTTGGCTGAGAGGGATGTGAACTCACTAGTTTGCAGCTGTGTTAATCAAATCAGGTTGGGTTTCCATTACGAGTGCCAAATGGTGCCAATCCCCTTTGATCTGACATCAGATGTGACGGGACAGTTGATATATAGAGATACATTTATGTGCTGATTGCAGATAGTTGCATTGAATAGTGTTTTTTTGGGGTATTTATTGCATCGTTAATGTGCCTGACATTCTGGAAACCTGCCTGTGAGGTTTTGGTGACGTGTGTGGACTGTCCGCCGACCAGCCAAACTTCGGCTTACACTGGCTGCACTCCACCTGCGCTGACAGTAGACCTGGTTTCAGCTGGCGAGCTTTTAGCGCACCTTCGGCGAAGCCTTTTGGCACGAAACTGTCACTGCGCCAAGCTGGATCTGTCGACACCTCCCCCTGCTGCGCTGCCACACCCATCTCAGCGCACCTTGGTCTGCCAAACTACCAAACTGAGTGCACCTCGGGTTGTGCTGCTCGAATCTATCCCATATCTTCAAAAGGTTGAGGGTTAACATCACTGTGACATCATAATGCTCTGCAAAAACACTTTTCTGGCCATTATTCAGTATTATATCTCAGGAACAGAAGGAAGGCATTTGGATAGATAGTAAATTGGTGACACTAATCTTGAGCGTCTATCTTGAATATGTGCTGACCGTACAGATCTTCTGTGCTGCTGAGGGGAAGATGCGTATGAAGCATCCATGTTTTAGAATGTTTAACTTCTTTTCAGTGACATCTATATTTGAAGTATTGTCTACTGCCTTGGCTGCATATTAGTCTGAACAGGCATGGATGTAAACTGTAACTGCGTACAGTGGTGAAAATGTCAAAGGAGATCTGGGGTTGGTTTTTATTTCTCTTTGCATGCATTCATAATCTTTCACTGGCACAGGTGTCTTTAACTTGACAGCACTAAATAGATTACACCACAGGTTAATGCCTCCATCATCAACAGACAGTGGCTGGAAAAATGGGACAAAATTCCATCAGCAACCATACTTACATTACTGACTGGTGAAAAATCACCACATTGTTTGATCTGCTGTGATCTGCCATTAATATATGCCATTCTATCCTCACTCTTGTACACTCGTGAGCTCGTGGTGAAGAGGGAGCTGAGCCGCAGGCGAAGCTTTCGATTTACTGGTCCATCTATGTCCCAACCCTCACCTATGGTCATGAGCCCTGAGTAGTGACCAAAAGAATGAGATCGCAGATACAAGTGGCTGAAATGAGTTTCCTCCATGAGATGGCTGGGCTCAGCCTTAGAGATAGGGTAAGGAGCTCAGACATCTGGAGGGAGCTAGGAGTAGAGCCGCTGCTTCTTCACATTGAAAGGGGTCAGTAGAGGTGGTTCGGGCGTCTGATCAGGATGCCTCCTAGGTGCCTCCCGCTGGAGGTGTTTTAGACATGTCGCACTGGTAGGAGGCCCCGGGGCAGACCCAGAACACGCTGGAAGGATCATATATATCTCATCTGGCCTGGTAATGCCTGGGAGTCCCCCCAGGAGGAGCTGGAAAGCATTGCTGGGAAGACGGATGTCTGGGGCGCTTTGGGGAGTTGCCCCTGCGACCCGACCCCGGATAAATGGATGAAAATGGATGGATGGATATATGCCATCAGTTTATGAGTAACCA